GTAAATAAGGACTAAAAGGTATAATAGGTAATGTGAAATAGGAAGAACAGGGGCAAAGGGGAGGGGGAAGTGGGAGGGGTAGGGGAAAGGAAAGAAGGGACTGGAATTACTATGAGAAAATGAAAAAATGGAAACAAAGTCTTTGTAAATAGGGAGGACTGGAGGTGTTGAAGGGAGGGCAGGGGAAGCGGGAAAAAATAAGAACCAAGAGTGTATGTAAAGGTGCAAATTTCCAATGATGAATGTCATTATATTGTATACCTAAAATGTACCAATAAAAGGATGAAAAAAAAAGAAATCCTTTTTTGTTTTTCTGTAGGATAAATGTTCTTTGTTTAGAAATTCACTGGTTTACCAGGTAAGGCAGTTGAGGGTCTCTATATGTAATGACTCCATTAATCCCTGAGTGGCTGGAGTTGGTGAAGGCGAGTATTTTGCAGAAGGAAAGCAGTGCTGAGCTTTTCCATAGAGTTGCTTGGATTCTGTAGGCGGAAGGGATAGTGCGGGAAAGTGGTGATAATGAAGATTGGAAAAATAATTTGGAACAGATCTGTTGAGAGAGAATGATCATAGCAATGGGCAGAGCAGGTGGCATTATTCTGGGAAGATCCTGAGGTTTATTCTCCAGTTCTCCTGTTTAAAATGAGTATTGCATAAACTTGTCAGAGGCAGGGTCCGGGTTATGTCAGCAGAAATGACATCAGGTTATGTGGCCTATAGCCTCCTCATAAGGAGGGATTTATGGGCTCAGTCATAGACCTGGGTCTATTTAAGGAAGACAGGGTGATTCTGATGTTTGAATTAGAAAGACTTGTTCCAGATGGTTACTAAAATTATCACTGATTAGATAGGAATATTTATATTAAGTTAGATAAAATTAAACCTGATTCCTTATCTTGGTCCATTTTAGTTTTTTCTATCAAGTACACAAACCACATGAATATCTGTTAATATTAATATATGTAAAATAATTTTTGATGTCTGTGAATTTTTAGTTGGCAAATGGATGGATTTATGGAGAAATATATTCAGATTCTTCTAAGATTCAGCCATTAATGAAGCCATACAAGTTATTATCTGAAAAGGTAAGGGATTTTCTTTAAAGTTTGCAAAAGTTTTAATTTGGGGTGGGAATTTTTTCTAATATATTTTCTTAAAGTATCTTTATATCTATGATTTTTACCTTTACTCAAAAATTCCATGTTTTATCTTCTTGTGTTTTATCTTTTTCTCTCCATTCCCATTGTATATCAGTATTTCATTGCTTATTCTCTTTTCTCCTTAGTATTTTCCTTTCTTTTTTGGTTTACATTTGTCTCCCCTATTTTTCAAGAACTTTAGAAAATATTGTTATGCTTAGGAGTTTTGTTGATGGCAGATGATAAAATAATATTTAATATACTTGTTAGAAATAAGTTTCTGTATGTTTTACTTTGAGGGAAAATGTACATCTTGATAGAGAGAAAATGATTTTCCAGTGTAGTATTTATGATAGAGGAAGAAGCACTTATCTTTTCAGATGGTAGAAAACCTTCACACTTGGAACACGCAGTCTTCACTTTTCCTTCATTGTTTCTCCTTTCCAGTTTCTGTCTAAGGTATCAGGAGCTTGGCTGCCAAATTAAATTGACCTTCATGTGCTACCAAGAGCAAGGACCTCTCTTAACAGCATCAGAGACCTCAGCTCACACTTTACTCTTTAGAACTTTTACTTTGTTTTTATTTTTAAATAAGTGATACTAATTAAATTTCTAAAAATGAAGGTCATTTCTGAATAAAACATTGAAGCAGTGGAGATTTTAAATTTTCATTTTTGTTCATAATGTCCTCGTTATTTTCTTCTTTTTTCTTTCTAGGAAAAAGAAATTTATCGCTGGCCAATTAAAGAATCATTAAAAACTATGCTGGCCTGGGGTTGGAGAATTGAGAGAACTAGAGAAGGAGACAGCATGGCTCTTTATAACCGAACTCGTCGTATCTCTCAGACAAGCCAGGTAAGAATCACAGTGGTAAATCAATGATTTATGTTATTTTTTTATTAGTACATGCTTGTGATTCCTGCAGTTTATAATCATCCTGGGGAGTGGTTGCATGTGCATATTACAGCTTGTTTCTTTTTTAAAATCCTCTTCCCTCCCCTTTCCCTTCCTCCTCCAGATCCCCATCCGCATTTTCACATTTATTGCTATTATTTGTCTTATCTCATATTACAGCATATTTGTGTTTACATTAATTGGAGTTGTTAGGTTCCTGAACATGGCATCATATCTTCTTATTTCCCCTTCCCCTCCTCCTCACCCCTACTCCTCACCCTTATGCTATTTTAAATAACTTCCGTTATGTTATTTTAAAAATGATTCTGAGTCAGGTATGATTGGATGTACTTGTAATCCCAACTAACAGGAAGCTGAAGCAAGGGAATTGCTAGGACTCAGGAGTTCAGGACCAGCCTGGGCAAGATAGCAACACCTGGTGTCAAAATATATAATACTAATTTAAATTTTTTAATTATTTGTTTTTTCAGAACAAATAACTTGAAAATTCTTAAACTAACATAATTTGGAAAGTAGATAAAAGGCTATATTGTTTTACCTTTAATTTTAAGAGGACTTAAATTGTGTTTAAGTTCAGGAATTTTTATACCCATCCTACTTCTCTTGGCCAGTGCAGAGAAGAACACCTACCTGTAAGATCCCATGGCTTTTTAAAACAAGGCTATAAAATGTGTGAGGTTGGGTGGCCTGTAGAGCATTCTTCTCATTTCCCCTCAGACATGAGGGCTGGTTCTTAAGGAAGACTGGGGTGATCAGTCAGTGGGTCTGAGATCTAGAACCTATAGGATGCTCCGTGCAAGGAAGATGCTCAGCCAGGCCCACAGAGCAAGAATTCAGGGCACGTGTTGCTGGTGGGCCATGTCAAGGAAAGAAGACAACACTGCAAGACTCTAGCCCTTGGGCTTCATGCTCAAGGTGGTGAGAATGTGACCTGAAGAAACTAGAATTCAAGGTGGGAACCAAATATCAGCCATTGCAATGTAGTCACAAGGTTACCTGAGCTATTCACATCTGGCCAGTTTATTTCTCTTGGAAGCTAAAGCTGTCCTTAGCCCCTTGTCCTCCTCAGACCACTATGAACTTGACTTACAAAAAATACTGTAGAATATTTAATTTTTCACAGACTTCTTTTTTTTCCTCATTTTTAAAACAGTAAAAAGTAATAGTACTTTACAGAGATGTTCTGACAATTAACTGAGATCCTCTCTGAGTTTTGTTCATGATAACCACTCGTTAGTTGCTATTGTTTTTATTACTGCTGATAATTTTAATGTTAGAATTGCTGACTTAAAGATAATGCATAGTCCAGACAACATGAAATTAAGAATCAAGGGAAAATTATGAAAAAAGTAAAAGAACCTGTTGCTGAACTATTTACATTCTTAAAACTGGTCCCTAGGACTTAATCTAAATACAAAGGATCTAACTTTCAGTTATAAAAGGACCATTGTCTAAGAGGAAATTAAATACTAAGAACTCTGTTTTGAAAACAAATAAAGGCCTTCATATCAGTTCTTTTTATTTATTCAACAAAATGTATAGTCATACTGATTTTTATCACTTTTAAGATGCACATTTACCATATTTTAATATCTGTGACATTGGGAATCATTTTATAATACAAAGTTTGGTGATTATTGTCATGTGTCGAGCTCTGAAACTACTGAGGTGAGGAAAAGTCAGCCAAGGCCACAGATTTTTGCAAGAATGGCAAGGTTTATGATGCAAGAAATAAAATAAATCCTTTGGAACACAATTCGGATAATAGTGGAGAGTTAATCAGCAGGTGATGAGATTGAAGGAGAAAGACAGAATTTTTTGACCAAGGACATAAGAAAATGGAGGAAGGGAGTAATCAAATCTAATTGCCGGGGACTCTAGCTTGAGTCAGCAAGACCACAGTTACAAAATGAGTGAGAGGGCTGGAGGCAACAAGGAGACAATAAGGAATTTCATTTTAGATGTTGTAATAGGCAAAATCATGGTTCCCAAAGATGCCCACTCCCAAACACCCTATTTGGGAACTACCATTATGATGGTAATGATGATAGATTATGGTCCTAACAGCATAGTAATAATAACAGCCGTTTACAAACATTCCTTGGCAATTTATGTGTGTCAAGCGCTGCTAAAGGCTTTATGTCCATTGTCTAATTTCAACCTGTCTTCAAGGTAGATTGTGCATTTAGCGTTAGGTCTATTTAACAGGTGAGTAAACAGAACCTTAAACATGTTAAGTGGCCTGTCCTGGGCCACACAGGTTGTACCTGGTGAGACACAGGCAGGCTATAACTACATTACAGGGCCCAATCAGCTGACTGCAATGGGTCAGGCAATTGGATAGTGGTAACTAATGGGTAATTTTGCAAGTGAAACACAGTGAGTTTAGGCAATTAATGCTTATTTAACCTTTTTCCACTGAAGTAAGAGGTGCAAATTAAGTAAAACCTGGCCTGTCTTCTGATTTCTGTGTATAACAGGAAGGAAAATATGTAATGAAAACTTTAAAAGAATCTATTATTGAACTATTTGATTTGATTATTTGGGAGAGGGTTTGAATACTAAAACCAGTTAAGGCTTGAAAAAGTCATTCTTGAAAGGGATGTGAACCAAAATGGAGTTAGTAAAAATACTGTTAAGAGGGGGAGTCCAGTTGGAGTGGAATTTGTAATATTTTGTGACTTTCTGTAGGGAGCAGGAATAACCAAAATCCTGGAAATGCTCAGCTAAATGGTAGAGACACTACCGCCTCTAAAATTCAGGAGTCTTCTAACATTTACATTTATTCACAAATTCCCTTAAAATCATATAAGACCCTGTAGTAGAGTTACAGCTAGTTCAGGAACACAGGTTTACATTGAACCCCAAGCTTCCTTAGATCATGGGAAACCAAGCCTGATTTTAGTCCCACAATTTTATGTACATTGCGATGAGATTCCTGAGCCATGGTAAAGACACAAAAGCTGGGGTTCAGTCGAAACTTGCCCTAAAGTTAGTTAAGTACCATTCTGGAGCCTACACTAACATTAGATGTCTTCTATTTCATAAGCATGGGTTTATTCTGTAATATATAGTTCCTCTTTGTTCTTTGTTTATCCATTTATAATGGAATATACACAGTTATGAAATATATTGATGTAGAATATTAGACTTATAAGCAGATACCAGAGCTGATTTGTATGCCATTCAGTGGAATGAGGTAAGTGCCCATAGTGAAATTTTCTTAAAGTTGATGAGATACATTTCATTTTTAAAAAGCCAAAATATAGACATTAAGGAAGTTGTCTGGTCATCAAAGATATTCTGGTAAACCACCGAATACCATAAGTTAGACTTTTATAAATAAAAAGTGGGCTCTATTTTATTCTAACATTTGACCCATGGGGTTATTTGTAAATGTTGACCTCTTTGATTCATTAATGCCTAGATGAGGAAGACTGAATTTCATTGCAGCAAGACAGGATTTGTAAAAACTTCAATAATAGTGACCCTTTACATAAGATAACATCTCAGAATTTAGGATTTTTAGCATAATTTATTAGATTTTGATTATTAGCTTTTTTTTTTTTTTTTTTGGTACCGGGGATAGAACTCGGGTTTTTGCACTTGCAAGGCAGGCAGCAGAACCACTGAGCTAAACCCCCGGCCCTTGATTATTAGCTTTGGGTATTGTCAATCCCTAAGATGTTAAGATGAATTATTTAATCAGAACTAATGGGCAGACCCCAAATATAATTTTATTTGCAAGATATGTCTGTGAAATCATTTTATGTAGATATTTGCCCCTTTTATCTGAGGAAACATCATATTTGGAAGTTTGCCCTATTTTTCTAAAGTATCACTTAAGTCTCTCCCAAGGGTTTTTAATAAGATACTGCTTTTTCTGTAAATGATCTAGGTTTCAGTGGATGCTGCCCATGGATACAGCCCCCGAGCCATCGACATGAGCAATGTTACACTATCTAGGGACCTACATGTAAGTAATATTTTAAAAATACTTTCAAATGCTATGTTTAAAAAGCACACTGTAACACTTTTCTGCATCTATTTTGCAGCATGAATTATTTCAATATGAAGATCATATATGGGTTTGTGGAGTTCATAGCTATTACGTACCCTAACTTTTTATACCTAAAAGTTGATGCAGATAACCCTCTCATGTATAATTTTACCTTCCAAGATTTCAGTTACTCATGCTTAACTGTGATCTGAAATATTAAGTGAAAGTTTCAAAAATAACAACTCATAAGTTCTAAATTGTGGTCCATTCTGAGTCATAGGATGAAACTTCCTGCTAACCTGCTCTGTCCCAACCTGGATGTGAATCATCCTTTTGTCTAGTGTATGCAGGCTGTAGATACCATTTTGTATACCACATTGTTTGTGGTTAACCCTTATTTTGTTCAACAAAGGCCCCAAAGCACAAGAGTAGTGGTACAGGGGAGGGGCCAGGGTGTTAGACAAGGAAGGACAGATTAACCCTGGTACTATGTGGCTGGGCTGAAGGCATATGGTAAAAAATGACACATGGAGGATTCAGTAGTAGCAGAGATTTCAAGGCTCCACTGGGTGTGTCTCCTAGAATAAGGCAGACTGTACATCTTTTTCTAGGATGTTTCCTCCACATAACATGTTTTCCTTAAAGAAAATGCCCATTTAGAAAATCATAACATAATTAGTTGTGTGAGAGTAAATAAACCATAATGGTTTGCTCAAGGGTCACTTCCGGTAGTCATTAAAGATTATGTATTTTCAACAACTTATTCAGAGAAATTGATAGCATTTTGCTTGCACCATACAGTCTGTTATCCTCTGTCACTAAGGAACCCACTTTGCAACAAATGGCTGATTTAAATGAAAGATAAATTTTGATTCCATAGAACAAAGTTAACAGGTTAAGATGACACAATTAGAGTGGCATTGTTAGCATTATCCTGACAAATAAAAGTATAAATTAAATTTTATGTACTGTGTAGCTGTTTGTTTTTCCCTTTGGTATGAGAAATACATACAGAAGAACTATAGGAATATATTAAGATGACAGCAAATCTGACTCTCCATAGTGAGAGTATTAGAGGCAATCGTCTCAAAATTCACAAGGCCACAGAGGGTCATGTGGCTTGTCCCAGATCTGGTGCCTAATTTGGACAGAGAATGTTTTGGAAGCCAAATCTCTGTCTGTATAATCTTTGCATTCAGTGTTTAATGAGGTTTAGATAATGTTTTAAAGCTTTGGAAGTCAAAATAAGAACTTGTGGATAAGTTTATTTTGTGGTAAAGTTCGAAGCCATTTTGAAATTTCATTATCAGATGAAAAAAATATATGTATGTAAACATTATGAATAATAATAACTATTATTATCAAAACACACATGCTCTTTATTTACTGTGTAATTTCACAAACGATTATAGTTCTCTGGACTTGAAATTCCAAATAAGAGAGTTGTGTTTGATTATCTTTCTGATATATTTTAGCACTACTACTTGGATGTTTCAAAATTGCATATTAGAAAGCAGTTATACTTTTTCAATCACTGAAGTTGAAGTTGGGTTCTAAATATTTGATTCATTTCAGGCTATGGCAGAAATGATGGCTGAAAACTACCATAATATATGGGCAAAGAAAAAGAAATTGGAGTTGGAGTCCAAAGGTAATATTTTCTAAAAATCTTTATTAAAATCAATCAAGGTCTAACTACAGAAGTGTGAAGTATGGATGAGATAATAATTCTTTTTAGCACAAAAGCCTATTATACCTTCATTTTGTTGGAATTTCACATGTGCCTATACCAGATTAAAGTTGGAAATTCTGTAATTTCCTGACATCTAGTATACATTGCCTTGTGTCTCAGAATTTTTATGGCTTTCTTTTACCCATTTCAGCAAGCAGATATCTGTACCTGTGATAGTGTCCAAGTATCAGATATTATGTAGACCTCTCTCCTGACTCTCACCTCCAACTTAAATATTTATTTCATTTCTTTTTATTTCCTGTCCTAGCGTCTTTTTTCTCAGCATCTTTTATCTTGTTATATTACCTTCTCTTACATGCTTGAGGTTGTTCTTTTTTCCTTTTTTAAAGTATTAAGATCACCTAATATCCTTAATTGTTAATGAAATATTTTCTTGAGTATTTGCATAAATACTTTGTTTAATTTAATGCATCCTACACACATGATTTCTTTCATTGTTGTTTATGTTGCACTAGTCTATACACATATTGTGTGTGTTTATGCGTGTGTGCATATGTATGTGTGTGAAAGAAACACTAAAAGATCGGTGCTAAAGGTTCACACTTTCACTTTCAGTCACTCTGATCTCTGTCATCCTTGCAACCATTTGAAGATGAGGGATCTGCTTTAGAAAAATCTAGAGAAAAATTCCTGTTTGCTCTGATCATCTGGGCTTCAGTGCTCTCTCAGTTCACTGGCAGAATCTAGGAAAATGTAGGACAGATCAGCTACTATAATGATAACATGTATCATTAATAGAAAGGAAGGAGCAAGTGTCCACAAAATACTGTAAGTACTTCCAGATTAGTGAAAAAAGTCAAGAGCTAGCATTCCTTTCTCTTTGTCTTTCCTCACCACCACTTTTTATGCTGTGGTGATCTGTCATTTATCCAAGGGTTAACCTAGGGTTAAGCTTTCTTTACCTTTTAATATGAATGAGCTTGAGAGCCAGTGCTAATATGTTTGAAGCAGCATCCTAGTAATTACTGTATATTCATTTATCTCCATTTAGCTAGCCCACCTCCACAAAGACACCTCCACGCCCATTATAAGTAGGAAGATGGAGGTTTGAAGAGCAAGGTGAATTCCCCACAGTCACTCTGCACACCAGAGGCCTAAGTTGTGGTTTGCTGGCTGACTTCAAAGAATGTATCTGTCTGTCTGGTTCAGGGAAGGCCTAATCCAGTGAGAAGAGTGTCAGAGTCAGAGGTACTTTATGTTCTTGGGATTTTTAAATTATAGATGTTTATTCTCACTATTTCACTCACTGCTGCTCTTCCCACCTCCCCTAGAGTAACTTCTTGATTTCTGACCCCAGAATCACTGGATTATAGATTCAGTTGCTAAATAAATATAATTCTCTAGGGCTAAATGCAATAGTGAAGCTCAAAATAGGTGATTGTTGATTAGAGTGATTATATTAGATGATCGATTAAATTTTCTCATAAAATATCTCATTAAATTCCATCTTTGATTTACAGCAGAAGTTAATTTGGTTCCCAGTACACTTAGTAACACCTCCTGTATCCTCCTGATGTTTGCAGAATGTTTGTTAGTGTTATCCTCTAACAATTGTATTATGTGTGATACTATTAATATTATACTAGGAATAAGTGTGGCTCCTTAGGAGGCTTAGTATTTGGCTGTGCTGACCTGTCCCCTTGCATTTATGATAGTATAGCGTCACCTAAGGTTCATAAAGTTCAGTGGATGATTGTGTATCCATAGGTGGCACTCTCAGGCAAAGTTAGCCCTCAGGAAAACAGAGCAGTATCTCCTTTGCAACTTTGCTGGCTTATTTAGAAAGGCAAATCCACCGTTCATGATTGTTCTAGTAGCTTCAGCTAAACTGCTTTGGAAACTAATTTAATAGACTATAGTTTGTCATTATAATTTTTAAAAAATATTTTTCTTTTGTCTTTCTCAGACTTCCTTAACAGTTATATTTCAGGGTAAATCAGCAACCCATACAATATATATTGCTATATATGTTTTATAAACTTTAAATTTAGACATCTCAAACTCTTCAGTTTGCTGCTACTTTAATAGCCTTCTTTGTATCAGACCATTACACTTGAAATTAATATTTTAAAATATTTTATAACATTTAGATTTTAAAATGTATCATTTATGTTTTTCTCATTCATTTTTAAAATTTAGATACTTTCTAGTACTTTTTAATCTAAAAGAATAGAATATGTTTAGTATTTTCATCAGAATAGCTGTGCTAGAGATCAAGACTCTTGCTAGGGATTACTTGCCAAAACCTTTAAATCAGCCAAATATTAGGTACTAAAGAGTGATCCATTTTTAATTTGGTAAATCTCCTATCGTTTTTGTTTATTTATAAAATATGTGACATTAAGTATGTTCAAACCTAGAGTTGTAATAAAAATTCTTTATTGAGGGATTTCTTTGCCTTCACTCTTCAGGGTAGGAAATGAAACATTACCCCTAAAACATATCTTATAGTTTTGCTAGATACAACTCTGAACATTTTAGTGTTTATTTTCACTCCTCACACTTAGAATTTGTTTGAACAGAGAAAAGTGTGAAGCTGTTGTTCACTCTTTGGTGATTGCAGATATAACTGGTGGTTGATATCGCGGCTGCACATACATATGGTGAATGTTTAAATTTTAAAAACTTATTACAGTAAAAGACATATTGCTATTAGTCCTTCCCCTTTCCTTTAAGTATATTTATCTCATTGTCTTTGCCACTTTCTAAACAGTTATAGAAATCCTTTTTTGTGTGTTTACAAGGTATGATAAAAAGTGTGGTGTATGTTGCTGCTCAGTGCCGTTGAACAGAAAGACAGGCTCTTAAAAACAGCAGTGTGTCCTCATTTACCTCATTCACCAGATCTGGCTCTTTCCTAAAGCCAAAATGACTTATGAAATGATACTCATGAAAGAGGACTTCCAGAACCTTTTCAGAAAGTGGCAAGAATGTTGTGCTAAGTATGTTTGAAGCAGCTGAAGTATTTTGAGGAGGGCTAAGTGCAATGTACCTTTTACTTTACTACGTTTTTAAATTTAAACATTCACAGTATGTTTTGATCACACCTCATATATTCACCTTTTAAATACCTATGAGAAGACATGTGTGAAGTCTTTCTTTGAATAGGTTTTCTGAATTAATTGAAGCACTAAAGGCACTAGAGGGAGAAGAGTCACATGTGAGTCTTATATGCTCTATGTATTATTAGACATCAGAAGTTCTGCCATGGAGTCCTCTCATATCTGTGCTATAGCTCACCTCAGATTACATTGTATTCCTGTCTTGATGTTCTCTTAGGAGGTGGAAATCATCCCCTGCTGGTGCCCTATGACACGCTGACTGCCAAAGAGAAAGCCAAGGACAGGGAAAAAGCACAGGACATTCTCAAGTTCTTGCAGATAAATGGATATGCGGTATCCAGGTAGACACACACCTGCTCCACATTCTTTTTTTTTTTTTTTTTTTTGGTACCAGGGATCGAACTCGGGTCCTTGTGCTTGCGCAGCAGGCGGCAAAACCACTGAGCTAAATCCCCGGCCTCCACATTCTTTTATAAGACTGAGTATTTACATACCCTCTCCAATTGAAAGCTTAAAATGAATTCAGCAGTTTAAACCTTGGAGCTACTGTTTAGTATGTTCAGAATTCACACATGTTGTAATCATTAATGCTGTTAGCGGTTTGTCACATAACCGAGTTCTTGCTGCTTCTTATATTAAGTTACTATTCATCATTTAGGCAAAATAGATAGGCAAAAAAATCACACCCTGTTCTCATAAAAGCAACATGTTATTGCACAATAATAGAGTTATTCACTGATATGTTATATCAGATGCAAAGTATTCCTTATGAGTTAAATGTCATATTTGTCTTGAACTACAAGAATATTAGATAATTTCCAAAATGTTTGTGTACATAGTATGTTTTAAATAAAATTTTACCTTCCAAGAAATGTTGTATACATTGGTTTCTGTGTTTCCCTTTTTTTCTGTTCAAGAGGGTTCAAGGACCTGGAATTGGACACACCTTCCATTGAGAAACGATTTGCATACAGTTTCCTCCAACAGCTCATCCGCTATGTGGATGAGGCCCATCAGTATATCCTGGAGTTTGGTGAGTATCTGAGCCATATTGCTTATAGCCTGGGTTTTGCTGTTCTTAATATTTACAGAGAAGAGAGCAGCGCAGATTAAGGGGCTGTTTCCTTTTTGTCTTTCCTAGTACTGAGTCCAACAGCCAAGAGACAAATAAGTTGCTCATGAATGAGTGAAGTTTAAGAACTTTAAGGAAATCTAACAGTGTAATTCTTTTCTTTTTATGATGTGCATTGGCATTGCCTTTTATTTTAGAAGATACTTTAGAAGGACATTAAAATTTTAAGGTAGAGTAAAATCTCCTATGAAATTAATCTCTCTACCCAGGAAAAATTTCTAAACAGTACAAGGCCTTGAGTTTAACTCTTGTGGGGACTCCCATGTGTAGCAAGAGTACTTGCAGGACAGGATTCTTAATTACGCTCTGAGGGCACCATGAAAGGCCTCCTTCCTGTCTGGCCAGTGCCGCCTTGGCACACTGAACTCTTGACTTGAAATCTTAGCTTTAGCGCAGAGCCCCAAGGCAGCCTTCTCTCACCCTGTGACGTCCTGATCTGTTTCAGTGGGCTTTGTGCGAGACTCCAGGTTTTAATCACTGGCCCTCCTGTCAGACCACCTGCCAGCCCCTGAGTGGTAATCAGTCTAAGGAGTCAGATTGTCCCTTTTGGAAAACAGTGACTCTTCTGGTGACATCCTTTTGTCCTTCTTTTTACTCTCAAGGTTTTGCTTTCAATGCTCCTTCGTTCTGTCATTCAGCACCTCTCTGAGCCCAGCATCCTCAATCCCTTAGCTGCTGTTTTTCTTAGGGTTTAAATTCATTTCTTGCACAGATTCAGATTAAACTTTGTAAAAATTCAAGCTCTGGGATTTTTTGTTCCTGGCCTCCTGCGTCTTAAATGTGATTAAAGATTTTGCAGTTTAGCATCATTTTCGTAAACCACTGTACCCTCTTCCAACCTGCATCTTTTACAGTCTAACTACTGTTGTTTTCTCTCTTCTCAGTCATCTAACTATATAAACTAATTTATGGCACACAATCTCTCTGTAATTCATATAAGTATAATTTTCCAGAATAGACTAACAAGTAGCCAATTTAGTCTATAGTAGTGAAATTCAACGCAAGAAGAAAAAGGAGACAGTGGTGAAGTTTTGACATTTTAATGCTCAAAGTTGAGTATTGAAATTTCAGATCTCCATTTAAAAGGATCTAATAATAGGAATCCACCCCAAGATCTAGTCTTCTTTTTGGCAAGGCAGAAGATGAGAAAGGAAAAATAATAATCATTTGGAGATGAGAATAAGAAAATTATTATTATTATTATATTTGCCTTCATGTGAAGACTAGAAACCCACATTTGAAGGGTGGCTATTTGTTTAGGTATTATTCACACTTCGTTCAGATTTCTGAATAAACTATCTAGCATAGTGTGCACAGGGAGTGGTGAGAATCTTGCTCCAAGGCAAATTTACCCATGTGGTACATTTCATTCTTTTCCCAGGGTAAAAGGTCTTATAAACAGAATGCTGGGGAAAAATAAGCTACAAAGATTGAGCCCAACAAAATAACATATTTTAGTTTATGAAATTGCATATACACTTTTCCATTAGCCAAATTACAAGACTCTGTTAGAGGAACAGGTACAGCTGAGATTGTCCGCGCCATCATTGTTACTACAAACAGAACCGCCCTATTGCCTTCCTCTTTATCTTTGACTTCATTGACTTGCAGCATCTCTTTATTTACTCATTTTTAGATCTCACCTAATTGCAATGGCAAGAACATGCTATACCTTCTTTTAATTTTTTTACTGTATTTTCTCCAATTCCTTTGCACATAAGCATTTTTTGTGATAATGAAAGAAATGACATTTCTTATGTTTGATTCATTGAAATATTAGTAGAGTTGGCTGTGCACAAAACTCTATTTTAACATATTTTATATAAGAACCTCCCTTAGAAAGATCTAGCTATTTTGTTTATTGTGCTTGAGAGAAATTTATTGCCAAAGTAATACGAAAAAGAAATGTTCAAGTGATAGAAAATCATCACTTTCTTTTACTTGTGACAAGAACATTGTTCTGATATTACAAAACAGTGCTTGTCTTTCCTAAAAATTGTCTTGCATTTACATCTAAGATTTGATAAAATATTCTTTGTTACTTGTAATTGCAAAATAAGTTTTTCAAGCAGAAGTCAGATTCTTATAAAAGCTTATATCCAATTCTGAATTTTTAGTTCTTCAATACATTCTGCATAACAGCATGATTATTATAGTGCATTTTTATCTCTTTTGTATGCATGAAACCTCTTCTGTATGCATGAAGGAGGTAGGAAAGGCCACCTTGTAAGCTAAATACATTAGGTCAATCATTTCGTAAAATTGAATTGTTTTAAAAACCATGGGAAAATCTGAGTGTTTTTGCTTCACTTATGGAAATTATCTTTTGACATAGGTCAGAACTTCTTTATTCTTTTGTAAAATGCTAATTTTGCAGCACCATATTAAAATTGCTGTCCTCCAATCATTTGCAGGCCCTGCTTCCTGTAATTTTTTAGTTGGTATATTAAAATCAGAAGCTTTTACTTTCAGTCACACCAGGAGGTAACCATCTTTGTCAGAGACCACAGTTAAAACCTAACCAATTGTGTGTACTTAGTTTGTTGTCACTTTTCTCACCTTATGAGCTTCCATTCTCCAAGGCTACTGAAAATGTGAAAATGTGTGATTTAGACTTTATTGCAGTTTCCCCCCTGACATATCAATAGAATGTCAAGGCTACACAAAAGTGTATTTATGTTATGTTATAAATATGAGCTATCTGCAGTAGTATTTTTATTTAGATTTGAATATTTTTCGAAGTCTTTTCAATTGCAATGTTAAATTTATCCTTTATTTTGTTATTGGCTTTTTATTTTCTATGTAGTGAGATAATATATTTAACAATACATTGTAAACTTTGCATTTTGGGGAAATATCTTGTAATGTGTGAAGTGCAACATGTACCTAAAAACTCTTCACATCTACAGATGGTGGCAGCAGAAGCAAAGGAGAACATTTCCCTTATGAACAAGAAATCAAGTTCTTTGCCAAAGTACAGTATACAATCCATCTTGTTTCTGTTTCAGTATGTGTTTGCAAAATATACTCATTAGATCATTGCTTCTTCTATAGAATGTACTTGTCTATAAATGTGAATTTCACTACAAGTAAATATTCTGTGGCACAAAAAGAACTGCATGAATTTCCTGCCAGCATACTTGGTCACACTTCAACTGGATCAGCTCTCCCTACCCTGTTCTTCAGATAATTAGTTCTAGTGCAAGTCTAAGTCAAATTTCTTTTTCTTCTTTTACTTTCTCATATGATTCAGAGGAAAAAAATAAGTGAAAAAAAACTTTGAATATTGGCATGATTTAACGGTTTTAATGAGCATTTCTTTTCAAAGGAGAAAAAGCATTAGCTAATTCATAAATTGACATATTACTAGAACATTTACTGTAGAATCTGTGTTGTTGGACTTTAGTCCTATTCATTTTATAGATGAGAAAGCTGAGGCTTAAAGAGATTAAATTGTTCATATACAAAGTATATTCCGTTATTGTTTATTCCATTTAATAAGGTTCTAGCAGGGATTTGGTGTATTATTATAACATTCATCACTTCCTTTCATCCAAAAAAGGAAGAGATGAGGAGTTGGAATGTCTCCACACTGGAATCCTGCACTCCCTCAGTACTTATCGTACCCTGGTCTGATTCAGGCAGTAGGTGGTAGCCTAGAGATTGTCATGACATGTGATGCCCCGGCTAAGCATTCCTGTTTATACTACCTTATAGTTGACCAGAGGACCTAAGTTTTGCTGTCAGTTTTCTTGCAAAGTACTTGCATTTGGTTACATTACAGATAATTTACTATAAGCACAACACTGATATACTTTAAAATGGCATGCTTTTTGATTAATATTTGGTATCTATTTATATCTTTACAATTTTACCTTTCATATAAAGATTTGTCTTTTCTTTCCAACTCAGCAGAGCACTCAGAGTCTGTTCTAGTCATGCAAAGATTTGGTTCATCCTGGGTTGCATAATGTTGATGACAGGCAGATAGATAAATCAATTGATCAATCAATCTTCAGTCTCTATTAGATTATAATCTCCCTTGATAGCAAGTTATCAGAATACTATATTCATGGTCTCTAATATACTCTTAAAATACATTCTCTTTTTTCCTACCCTTTTTACAGATGCTTAATGTGGCTTAGTTTCTCCTAAGTCTATATTTCATTCATTCACCATATTTATTGAGTACCTACTATATGCCAAACATTAAATTCAGGCAGTGTCAAAACTTTCAAGGAAGATAGATAAAACTTGCATATTCCTCATTCTCTGTAACTCTGCTATACCACATGGTAGAAAAAAAGTCTGTATATTTAGACACACTTGAGTTTGAATATTGGTAATGCTATCATTAATTTTTTAATTTATTCATTGAAAATATATTTATCTAGTGCTTGCTATAGGCCCAGCACAGCCCTACATATTAGAAATTCTCTGTAAACAAAATTGCCCAAGTAACAGTTCTCTAAGCTGAGAAAGAACTTCAGTGGAAAGCAGACACTAAATTAGTCTTGCTTTCTTGTAGCTCATAGTCTCTTGGGAAGAGAATCTTTAATCTAAAGTTTTTACATGTTTAAAATATAAAATTGGCAAAGTTGTTAAAAGAGCAGGGAATATAGGATTTTAGGTAGTTGAGGAGGCCAGCAGAGGCATATCTGATGAAGTTCCCCTGAGCTGAGGCCTGTAGAAGGAGTGAAATAAAGCTTTTGGAGAGCAGGAAGAGCATTGCAGACAGAGGAAATTATGCATACAGAGACAAATGGCAGGCGTGCCCAGAGCAAGGAGGAGAAGTTGGCTGAGGCCAGCAGGATTAAGTGTGCAGAAAGAGGACGTTGGAGCCAGGTGTTGTGGCACATGGCTGTAATCCCCAGCCCGTGGGAGGCCCAGGCAGGAGCATCACTGTGAATTCCAGGCCAGCCAGAGAGGGAGAGGGGGAGGGAGAGGGAGAGGCAGAGGGAGAGGGAGAGGGAGAGGCCAGAGGGAGAAAATAAAAAATAATAATAATAAAGAAAGAAAAAAGGAAGAAAGGAAGATATAGGATGTTGGCTTTGAGAAAGCCAGGTCAGAAGAATGTTGTTAGGCATGTTATGTCTCTCGCTCTGTCTCTCTCCATGTAGTACCGGTAAAGCAAGGATGACAGCCCCCACATACAATTCCCAGGACAATCAGTTGGCACTGGGTCCATTGCAGTCCTGACAGTTATTACTTATCCAATATGTGGTGATCATGGATTATTTTGGAGCCTGCTGGGCATTGAACTGCTCTGTGTGAAAATACTGAGAATATCTCATCTCACTTGGAGAAAAATTTCACGCCATTGGAAATGTGCTCTGTGCCACATAGTTTCTTCCCACCACATCCAACTTCCCCGCCTCACATTGCACACACACACACAGGACAGGGAGGCCACAGAGACAACAAGAGAGAGGCATGCTCTGACGTGGTGTAGACCTAGGACCTGTGGCATGTGAACAGAACTCTGACTGCTGTGAGCCTTTCCTCTCATCCATCCCCAGCTAGAGTCCACTCTGTAGACCTTTTTTTCCTTTCTTTCAGGTTGTTCTTCCTTTAATTGATCAGTATTTCAAAAACCATCGTTTATACTTCTTATCTGCAGCAAGCAGACCTCTCTGCTCTGGAGGACATGCATCAAACAAAGAAAAAGAGATGGTGACTAGGTAAAGAGCTTGTGCTTGGGTTCTGTGTGTATGCATTTGGGGCAGAGAACCACAGTGGGGCCATGACCAGAGGCCCCTCCCCTTGCTTCTAGTCTCTGACCTATTGACATCCAACACTGGATAAGGAGAGTTTTTCTAACTTAAGATATGTATGCTAGAGTTATATTTCTTTATTCCTTGCTGCTAACTACATCGATGAAGAGGAGAAACAAAGTGTACAAAGCAGAATCCACAATTAGGCCAGGGAGGCATTACCAATGTTAGTCTCTGTGAAACATGATGCTTTTAACATTGATTTCTTTAACATTTTTGGAACTCTAATACAGCTTTTATTTTTCAGGCGGACAAAATCCTACTTACACACATTTTAATGACACAAAAATTTTAATGACCAATCTTGGAAAGTACAGAAATAAAAAATATACTTTCTGACATTTCCCCTCTTGACATTTAAGTTTGTATCTTAGAAATGCCTTCTCATTTGTGTTTAAACTTAAATATTCTTTCTATAAATATTTTTTTCAAATTCTGTTGGGGATTTGGTATCTGTTTCCTCAAAGCTCTGCTAGAACTTACTACACATGAGAATTGATTACTGAGCATATCTACCTATATATTATTTATTATATTGCTCAAAATCCATAGCAGACTTTTAAGAGTGTATATGAATGAAATGAAATTTCTATAAAAATGAGCAAAGTGTATAAATCAGAACAGTGGAGAAACTAAAGGATATCCTTGGCCTTGAGTAATGCTGTGCTGGGTGGAGGTGCTTTGTCAACCTACTGGTGAGGGTGACAAGAAATTGAAAAAGTCCATCACCTGAAGATGGAGAATAAATAGGATCCCTGCATTATTTAATGTGGGAGGGAGCAATCAAGAGGTAATTTTCTGCTCATTTCTCTAATTTGTTATCTATTCCACCAGCTAGTCAGTGGCCAGTCATGTGATGTAGGATTGTAGCAACACTAGAAATGTGCTCAGACCTTCTCAAATAATACTTTTTCTATGAAGCTGATGAAATGGATGGCAGTGAGAAAAACAGATGTGATTCATTGCAGTGGCACACTTTGTTTCCAAAACCTGTTACCAGATAGAGAAGACATGCCCTGTCTCTTTCCCCACCCACTTGGGCATAGGCTTCTTTCCCACCATCCCTGGAAGGGAGAGTGGCTGGCCTGTAGTATTTCTTGAGCATACTCGTTCTCTTCTTTGAGCCCCTGGACCATGAGCACATACAGTAGCTAGGAAACCCAGAGGCACCAAGTTCCCAGTACACATCCACCATGAAACTCAGGATGTTGAAAAGTCTTCTACTCTTCCCAGGGACAAGTAGCCTTTTGTAATTGAAACTTTATTCCCAGAGGGTATTGTGAATTTAAATATCAGTTGATTAAATAAATCAAGAGAAAATACAATCAGAAAAAATAGGGGGAAAATGCAGATAAATTGATGCAAATTCTGCTATCTTCTCTCTTATATTTTATTATCTCCATTCAGTGTCAGACTTACTTACCCTCCAAATTTTCACTGACTACAAAATAACATATATGAAAACATCAAGTTGTACACCTATATTATACACAGTTTTATCTGTTAATTATACATGAGAATAGAAAAAAATTCATAGAACTTTACATGAAAAAATTTGCTTATTTTCCATCACCACCTCTGTATCCCTCATTGAATAAGTCTGAAAAATTCTGTGCTATTCTGTGCTAACCTCGAGTGATAGAATTTTGAGGTCCAAGACTGACCCTAAACATTCCCTCTCTATGACGACAATGCAGAAAAGTGTTTTTAATGACTTTATCTTCAGTTTTACTTCACCAAATAGAAAGAGGGTTGGTAAATTTTACATTTCTAATTAGCATTTTCAAAAAAAGAACATATGTCATTTAAAATTCCAAGACATAGAAATGAGTAGAAGTAACATTTCTTGATAATATATTAGTATAAAACAGGAATTTAACTTCAGAAAAATTCATAGATTGAAAAATGAATATAGTAATGATAAATAAGTTATGATACATCCATGTACAAAATGCTGCAAAGCTGTTAAAATTATGATGGATATGAATAATAATTAAAGAAAGTGATCATTAGGAAAAATAAAATATATGTTCAAATAGTAATAACTGAACTTGTAAAAATACTTAAATTTATATATATAGAATATTAGTAACAAGTAAACTTAATTTTAACAGTTGTTTCCTTCAGATAGTGTACTAAGAGTTTTATTGCTGTTTTCAAAGTTTTAGAGATGTAAATATTTTGTAACAACACAAATATGTTAAAGCAACTAGTAGCACCATTAAAATACAAAAACCAAATCAGTAATTTGACACACTTAAATGGAACCATTGAAATTTATAAATGTCTGATTTCTTACTACTGGAATTCAATATTACAACTTAAGTGAATTAAAATAGGTAAAAAATAAAACCAAATAGACAAAATCTGATAAAATAAGTAAAAAACTGTTTGTGCTACTATGAATAAAAGGTATATGTTTAAAAATGCACTATAATGATGGTTTTAGTTGCGAGTAGCAATTTTATGGGTCTAAAGTTAACTTCTACACAAATAAAAATTGATGTTTCCATGAGCTGTTTAGCTATTCCCTGGTATAAGAAATGATGTATTGAGCATTACAGTGTCTGAAGTCAGCACTATTTTGTCTGCAAAGAATGGGATTTGGTTCCTCTCTTCCTGGAAGGCACCTTGTGGTAGCTAAATACCCAGACATGAATATAGTCATAATAGAAGAAAGCCCTAGTGGTTCCCTGGGATTCAAATCAAGTCCAACCATGTTGGATGGGGTTGGAGAGTCTAAAGACTATGGAAGCCAGGCCATACAAAGTTGAACACAAAGAAATGTAAGTCAGAGATTGAGGGAGGGGAATATTTTGCAGATAGTATGTAACCATATCAATAAAGTATAGTGTCTGGTCATTTAGGTGAGTCATCTAGATTGTAATGGATACTAACTCAGAATAAGGGGTCTCTTCCTTTCTTTTGAAATTTTAAAATGTTACTTTTAACCAATTCCTTGGCACTAAGAAGCCATTGAAGCCTTTTAAATTGGTGGATGATCAGCATGGCGCTTTGGGAAGGGCAACGTGGCAGCAGTAAGAGATGCACAGGAATGGGAGAGCTGTACATGGCAGGGTTTCAGGACCAGAGCAGCAACCTAGGTTGTCACAGCAGAAGTACCACCCACTGGGCCATTCAGTAGACACTCATGAGAGCCTGCTGTGCACAGCCAGATGTCCTAGATCTGGAGATAAACACACACCCATAAGAACACAGCTCCTAAATTGAATGAGCTTGAAAGTACAGTAAAGTAGATGCATACATTTGGAGCTGACTGTACACAAAATTGTGATATGTGTCAGTGGAGATGAATAGAGTACTGAGTATAGGGAAGAGCTGTCATTGTAAGAGGAAGCTGGATGTGGGAAACAAGAAAGTCAGCATGACTTGGCAGTAGTATGGCAGGTGAGGATTTCATTGTGGTGCTGAAGTTTTAGCTCTAGGTAGTTGGAACACTGTTCGTATTGCTCACAAAAACAGCAGATTTCAGAAAAAGAGATACTTTCCAGAAGAGGTTAAATTGATTAGTGATTCACTGAAGTATAGGCAGGACATTCAGCCAGAAATATTCAGCAGGTAGCTGGAAATATGCCTTTGGTTCTTGTGGCGAGACAAGGACTACAAATGACAAATTTATGGATTATCTGTGCAAGTATGATTCTTGAAGATGTGAAAGTAAAAGAAACTGAAAGGAGGCTGAAGTGAGAAGCAAAAAGGTCTTGCTACCGACCCATGGAGAATGATTACATTTGGAGGATTTTCAGAAGTGGATCTTTGAAGAATATGAAGCATGATTAGAGAGGAAGGGAAAGAAGATTGCTATAAAACAAAATCCAAGGGAGGTAAGAGTTTTGAAGATTTAAGTGTTCAACAGTATCAAGTACTGCAGAAAGCTCTCCAAGAAATACAGTAAGAACAGGTTATTAAAATTTGCTGATTGGTAGCATTAATGAACTTCAAGGGAGTGTTTCAGCATGAGGCAATAAACAATGCTGAAGGAGGGTAGTTGCCTTACACATTCTGACTAATATCAGGAAGAGCAGAGAAAGGGGGCCACAGTATTATGGGAAATATTTTTAGAGGAAGTATAGGCTAAAGTTTATAATAATCAAACTTTATAGTCTACACAAGAATTCTGCCCCCAAAATGGATGGCATGGGAGAGCAAAGAGATATAATTTATCTTTTTATAGGACATAACTTTCTATATCTGTTTCTCTCTGATGGCACATAGAGTTCAGAAGCAGCAGATATTGTTAAGTCATTTTTCTCTGACAAATTATTAGCCATTAATTAGAATCTGATGGACTGAAATAAAGAAAAGTTCTACACAAAACATTCTACACCTGAATTAATTGGGTTAAACATAATCCTAGCCTGATAAAACCATCGTCAAAAATACCTCAGAATGTTGTGTTGTACCCTGAGTACTACAGAGTAATAAGTAAAAAATGTCATCACTTAAAATAAATTGGAATGCAGGGCTGTAAAGTATGTATAGTTCTAAATGTAATTGCTCTCTGTAGGAGACACACTTTTTTGGAGTTAGCACTCAGTTGTCAC